TGCGCGGTTGCTTTTCTAAATTGAGAGATGAGTGACCGACTGCACACCCACTTCCTGGCGAGCTCGGGTTTGCAGAGCTGAGCTGGGGCCAGCAGGAGCACGCATGCTAGTAACCACCATCTGTACCACCCCCAAAGCCCCAGTGGGTTCTCTCTGATGTTTTCTGGAAGTCCTGGGGCACACAGACAGGTGAGCACACAGAAAAGACTCGGGTGGGCCACGTGCACAAACCTCTCCCCCGCCTTTTTTTTGTATTCTAACACCTCCGCGGCACCAGGTAATAAGGTGGTTGTTGCCAGTTAAACTATGGCAAGGGGCCTCCCTGTTTCCTGGGCTGCCTGCTGAAGAGCCACATCTGTGAATGACGGCTGCCACCTTTGCTGGGCACCTCCGCCCCACAGGCACTCCTGCTGGCAGCCAAGATGCCCAAATTCAGCTGTGTGTGCTCTGCGTACAGGGGGGATGTTTCTCCATCCAGGCCTCTGTAAGATAGAAGCTTTCCCAGTGGTGCTAAAGCCATTTACTTTGCTCTAAAGTCTTAAGGTGTTTTTAAAGTGAGACCACCATTTCTGTTTTTATCAATTGGCCCTATTCACCTGCAACCTTCCCACCCTCCTCCCTGCCCATCTGCCCATCCTCTGCTCCTGCCCAGACTTTAGAATGTGAACCACCAAGGACACCAAGTCTATCCAATCCTTGAAATCACTCTTCCCTTTCCATTTCTGGCAGAGATCGTGAGGCCTGCTACTCCCTTCCCTAGAAGGAAGATTCTCCCAGGAGGCTCCACCGTCCCTCCTACAAACAGACCGCTCGCAGGCTAGATACGCCTGAACCCCAGTGGCACAAAGCCTGGGCCACATGCTGCAGGTTCGGGAGAAGAACCGTCTCAGGATGGCTGGGCAAGCAGAGAAGGCGCCTGCCCATGGTTTGGGTTGCCCCTTCTTGGCACCCGTCAGCACATCCTCTCCAGAATCAAAGATAATTACACTCTGAATCCAATGCCAGCGAGAATGGGTGGTCAGTGGTCCCTGGCTTCCGGCAGTTTATAATCCAATTCTTTAAGATGAGCAAACACGTGGTTTAAAAGAGATACTTTAGTTTGAAATTTTGTTGGAGAGCAACAGTGATTTATAATGGCTGTTTGCTGCTGCCTCTCACTGGGACTGGCGAAGGCGACCCGGACCGATAGTGGAAGTGATGGGCTGAGAAGGCCACACCCATCAGCAGCTGGGAGTGGTGTCCTCCCCCCATCCTCCCCGCCCGAGGAAAGTGGGTCACTCACCCACCTGGAAAATCTAGGTAGACTTGTGTGGTCTGATAAAGTCCAGGAAATTCATATCCATTCATATAACACTCATTTTTGTCATAAGGAGAGAAAATCAACAGCGACGGAATTCTGGAAACTTCACAGGCTGGGATACCAAGTAATGGTCTCAAAGACACAGAACTAGTAAATGGAAGCCCTAAGATGGAAACCAAAACCTGACTCCACATGCTGTGTGCTTCCAACAACTTGGTACCCCAATCTAGAACCTCATACAATTAGCCTCCCAAATACTTACTAGCTAAATAGATTTTCTTAAATCCAGTGATATTAATATCATATCAACAAGAGCCCAACCAAGAGATAAGCCCACCGATAGAGAACAGAAGGTTACTATCAACACGGACCAAGCCACACTTGGAAGAGCCACAGTAAAGTCCAGCCCGTGGCAAGGAGACATGTGCTAACCAAGTTCCAGGGGCCATGACACAAATATAAACAATAAGGGCACACGACACACTTCGAGGCACCCCTCTGGAGAGACCAAGATAAGATGCAAGAGGCAGGTAAGACTCCCGGTGCTCCACGCCCTGCCTCAGGCGTCTGGAACTCAAACCTGGGCTTCGTTTACAGAAACGGAAACTAGACGGCCATCTCTCTGCGGCCCCCCAAAGAGCTGATGTGATGGCTTGAGGAGGGCTAAGCTGGTACAGTCACTAGGGGGGGGGGGGGGGGGTGCGAGGTGGGGGATAGGCTCCCACAGCAAAGGAACCTGAGCTTAGATCTCAGTGCCACTGCTCTGTGCCTTTCATCTGGTAACTACGTAAGTCCCAAGTTTAGGCCACTGGTCGAAGTTAATTCCCTTGACTTTATCAGCTGACAGAGTGGCGAGAGAACCCCTTCCGGTGGAGCCTGGGTGTGCTGAAGCAGCACCCCTTTGAAGAGTGCTTCAGTGTCTCTCCATGGTGACAGACGAAGCCAGGCTTCTTTACAGGAACGCCTGGGCACTCCTAACTGGGTGGAACTCTCCCAGAAGTCTCTGGGGCAGGGCCACAACCAGCACCAGGACAGCTGTGACCCTGGTTGCAGGAAGGGCTAGGTAGAGAAACGGCAGCCACCAGATGAATGAAAGAACTATTTTAAAACAAAAAGCTATAAAACGAACCAGAGGGCAGACCCAAAA